CAGTTGACCATAGCTCAGGTATGGTATAATGGTTCAGGTAATCAATCAATGGCAATGATAATCCATTTATTGCCTGACAGTAATATAGTGAAACAGTCCAAGACTGTCAAAAGTTCTCTTGGCAGAGGAATCTATAAAAGTTGCCAAGCCAATGTCAATGTTACAAGCCTCAAGCATTCTTGGCATTCCATGATATATTGTTACAAGGTGATTCATTTCTTTCCAATAATGGTTACAAACATAACCAAAGTTATTGTGATAAGCTTCCAAAACAAAGTGGTGAGAGACTGGAACAATGAAGTGCCAACATGAATCGTAGCTTCATCAATAAAGAATTCCATCAAATACTTGGTAATGTTGAAGCAGAGAGGTGGTAAACGTCAGGACCACTTCATCAGCCTGCTGGATCTATGATAATTTTCACATCCTTAATTAAAGGAACTTTGACTGGGCTATGAGAGAATGTTATCAGCTTCCAGATGTTTCTGCCCAGATTTATTTACAATACTTATATCATATTTCTGGAACATAGCAAATGGTAATCCTTATCATTCAAAATGGATGTTCACATAGATATGGCTGGCATTTTTTTAATGGCCCAGATAATGGAAAAGCATTCCTTCTCCATTATTGAATAGTTTGATTCTGCTTTCATAGAAGATAGACAACAGTGGCTATGGACTTATTATATATCTCAATCACTATGTTAAGACCGAAGTAACTCCGGTTCACAACTAAATGCATCTTGTGATCAGTTGAGGCCTCTTATTGCTCAGGATCCTACCAAATGTCACTGGTCTTCAGGAATGAGGTGAGCAGCTTGGCAATCTTGGTGAATCACTCAATGAAGCAATGATTAACTTGCCAGTTTGACTAACTCAAACAAAGACCTAGGAAGCTTCAGTGTTGGAAACTCAAGGACACCCATAGCTTTTCAGGGACTTTTCAGGGAATCTCTTTTCTGTCAACAAGATATATGAGAATTTGGAGACTGGATCCAGTTGTAATTTGTTTATCAGAAACATTCAAGGACAATTCTGTCAATTGTCCTTGTTGCAAGAGAAGCCAAAATGATGGGACAAATACAACCATGTCCTGAAGGTAACAAAGACAGATGTTTCACCTAAGGTCCCATAACAGTCCATCTATGTATGGATTATTATGGGGTCTTTAGTGGGTTTATATAGCTCAAATGTTGCTATTCATTGCAGAGCCAGAACAGAAGAATCTTAACTCTTATAACTTATCGGGGTGACAAAGGCTGTCTTCTTTTAATGTTGCTCATCAATTTGTCAATAACTGAACTTTGAAATCTGTCAACACTTAGACTGTCTGCAGGAACTTCTATAAGGACACTAGATTCTTCAACTCTTGGGAGCTGATACAGTCATTTAACTTTTCAACACAGAACTGCTATTTACCAGAGTGTTTGTTAATCAAATGATTGAATTGGCCCTTGGAGACTCATTAGAGTGTATTATAATACATCTAACTCTTAACTAACATTTTATTGACTCTTCTTCAATAATGGGTATATAAATATGACTACATCCTTTTTTAATAGATGGCATTAGTAGTACTGTTTGCATGCAACTGTATCTGGCAACACTTTTATTTGAAAGGTCTGACGGCATTCTTTAAACAGATGTCTCAGACTTATTTTTAAAGTAAAATCAATAATTATTTTTATTTGATTAAAAATGTTGAGTTTTGTGCTAGGAAAACAGCATTTGTGGAAAGTTTACTTCATTATTTTTTTTCAAAGAAAATTGCAGCAGAAACATGTCATTGTTCGAAATTTATGATGAACATGCTCTAATACAACATGCAAAGATTGTTTTGGTGGTTTAAAAATAATGATTTTGATACACATGATAAAGAGCATGGAAAAACCACCAAAAAAATTCCAAGATGAAGATCCTTGCCAAACACAATTGGAATTGGCTGCTGCTTTAAATGTTACCCAACCATGCATTTCCCAATGTCTACATGCAATGGAAATGGTTCAAAAGCAGGAAATTGGGTCCCATATGAATTGAAAGAAAGAGACATTGAATGTTGAAAAACCATATGTGAATTATTGTTCCAAAGACAAAAAAAAAGGTTTTCTGTACCAAATTGTTATTTGGAGATGAAAAATGGATTCACTTTGACAATCCTAAATGACCAAAGGCTTGCAGAATATTCATGGAAGTAAGGTTATGTTCTGGGACCAAAAGTGTGTAGTATTCTATGAGCTGTTGCAAGTCAGACAATCAATGCTAAACATTACAAACAACAGTTAATCAAATTGAACAAAGCATTGAAGCAAAAACGTCCAAAATATGCCAAAAGACACAACATGGTTATTTTCCAACAAGACAATGCTCTCTCACACGTTGAAAGACCAGTCAAGGAACTCTATAAGCACTTCACTGGGATGTATTGCACCACATGCCATATTCTCCAGATGTTGTTCCTTCAGATTACCATTTGTTTCAATCTATGCAGAGTGACCTATCAGGAAAGCAGTTCACATCTTATGAGGATATCCAAAATTGGGTTGATAACTGGATTGCTTCAAAACAACCAGACTTCTTCATTCATGGAAATCATTTGCTATAACATTTGCCCATCTGGATTCCATGAATGAATTCATGGAATACAGATGGGCAAATGTTGTAGCCTCTGGTGGAAAATACTTTGAATAAATCTTTTGTTTGTTTTTAGAATGAAAGAATGTCTTATATTCTGAAAAAAGGTGGAAAATATAAATATTTATATCATATTTATACCTTTATATATATATGACTATATTTATACCTTTTTTCAGTGTATTTATTATTGGGTGTATGAATATGACTATATTTATACACCCAATAATAATTATTGAATGCCCAAGAGGATTCCAAGTGTTAATTTTTGGCATCCTCTTGGGCTTGAACTTTGTGGTTGCCAAACTGAAGCCCAATACTTACTGGAGGACTTTTCTGGTGTTGCTGGGCAACTGGCCTAGTGTCCCCCAGTAATGAGGGAAGTCATAAATAAGTTGTGATGAAGCAGCAACAGGTTGAAGTTTCCTCAGCAATTTCAATAGTAGTACCAGACATGTCTGGCTTGATCATTTGTTGATCCACTAGTGATGTCAACAGGCATTTTCTAGGCTTTGCAATGTTGATCAGTGGGTTCTCTTGGCCAGAAACGATGCAGATGCTATTGGTGTGATTCTGATATTCTTCTTGGACAATATCAGAATTAGTATTACTAGGTGAAATTTCTCTTTATCAAAATTGACCACAGTGTTCATCACTCGGCAGAAAGTATGGGTTCAACCTACTTGATGGGACTTCTGTCTATTTCATCACCACTTGCTGTTACATTGAAGTTGAAACTTTGGGACTAGCAAATGTTGGGCATTGCTGAGGACATATTCTTCATAAAATTTTTAAGAGATTCAAGTTGCTCATTATCAGACATGTTGACCTCTTCGCATAAAGCAAGGATATCTTGGATTCATGACTCACTGTCCTTGCCTGGGAGTTTTGTTCAGCTTCTTAGTCATAGTTTGGCATCTCAAGTGGGACTTTGCCTGTCTCTGAAAATTTCACAGAAGGCTAGCTAATTTGTCTTACATTGTTTGCAAATCAGTGTCTAGCATGCTTGATCTCACTGTCCCATTTATTTTATTGGGTAATGCATTCGGTCTTTCAGCTAACAGCAAGTGTCTTTGATTCTGTCATTGTGGAAGACTGGAAGTTCTTGGTATGTCAGTGATGGTAGATTCTAGATTGTGCAACTGACATTTAGAATATATTAGAAGTGCTGGTATCTTGACAAAGACCTGATATGATTTTTGTTCTTTGAGAACTAATCTCTGCAGTCTTCTGTTGTCCATGACTTGACTGATTGGTGAGAGAGGTACAGTACTTCTACTTCTATTCAAATTCATTTTTGATGGAGTTGCCAGGTAACAACCTAAGTCAAAAGGCATTTATTTTGACAAAGACACAAAACTAATTAAAAAAACAAACTGAATAACTTTTAACAAAAGTAGTTCAATTTAAACATTTTATATTGGAATCATCAAACGTTCTATACACAAAAATGTGAATCTCAAATGCCCAAATGCTCTAAACCAGGGATGGCCAACATGTAGACCGCGATCGACTGCAAAGGTTTTGAAAGTAGCCCACGAAGCTAAAGTTGAACAATTTGCTTTCACTTAAATTAATGTTTAAAAATCTTAATTTGATAATTTAATCTTACAATAATAGACTGTCTGTGCAACGTACCCATACTGTTTGTATTTATCCCAATGAACAATGCAAATGAATGTTAATGCAGACGCATATAAAAATTCTAAAATTGTTTGCCCATATTCATAGTCACCCACAGACTATATTTTACCAAAAAAGCAGGATAAAGGATAAAAGTTTGGCCACACCTGCTCTAAACATTGAGTTCAAATGTCAACTCTATTGGCTAAGAGCCCAGAAATTCAAAAAGTGTTCAGTCAGAAAGGAACATCCATTTAATATTAAAGTTATTTAATATGAATTGCAAAACCAAGAGATGGCCTACAATAATGGAAATTTTAATTTTTCCAAAAGCATGTGTGTTCAGTAATTGTGCTGTCACTCAACAATTTTAATCATTGACTATAAGACAAAAGATTTGTTGCTAACAAGCAACAAATCTTTTGTCTTAATGATTAAAATACTCTATTTTCTACTTTCTTGTTGAATGACCTTGGCTTTAGATAGCTCCTCATCTCTTGTTCAAGCTGACATTAATTAGCTGACATCAAATGTCTGAGTCTAATCATAACAGGTAGCATTTGTATTACATGACACTTCAAACAACTGATTTACTTTAGATTCTATTATTTCTCCTACCATTTCATATGTTAACATTTATTCATGTTAACATATGAAAGTATTCATAAAAGTATTTTCAAATTTAATGTAAAATGCAGACAATTCTATTATATATTCATTGTTAATACATTTTTAACCTAATAGAAGAAAACTTCAATCCTATTTATGAAGTGTTCAGCCATTATATTCTGAAACATAAAGAAAATGAAAACTTGTTACCTCACTCGGACAGCTTTACTGCCGTTGCAGCTGCCATATCCATTTTTATTATTTTGTATAGTTCTAAAATTGATGAAAGACATTCACTTAATGCAGGTAAGTAGAGTTATTTGATTGATACATAATTTCATCATAAATTAATTAAATAATATTTGATTTGCAGATCATTGTTTAAGGTATATTAAAAAAATGTTTGAAATTGTTAAGAAAATTGTTATCAAGAAGGAAACAATGGAGGAGCATGACTCTATCAACAAGAAAATGATTTCTGAATCTGTGTTAAATGATTATTCTATAGATATCACAGAAGATTTGCGTCACCTTTATATTTTACATGATTCGCTAAATGACTTATGCAATTTAATGAATAGTTCAACATGATAAGAACTTTAATGGCTGAATTACAAATGTGCAAGTTTTTTCATTCATAAATCAGAATTTTTTTAATATGCTTATATCTGTACAATATAAAAAGTAATAAGCATTAATACTAAATTAAATAAATAAATTTTTGAACATCAAAAATTTTTTACAGCTAATTCTTTATTTAGAAACATCCATTTAATTTAATTTTGCTCTTTAGGCAATCAATCAAATCTTTATTAATACAGCAGTACTTTTGTACCATGCCCAGTTCTGCATGGCACTGCTGGTATGCTAGTTAAGCATTAAGAGTTCTTTTTTCGTATGCATTGTAGGGTTTGGCCAGGCCCACAATAAGTCCTGTCCACCCCAACATATCTGGGACAGACTGATTATGAAAAATTGCTGGTGTTTATCTGGACCTCACAGAGTGGAAAACTGACATCTTTATGCTAGGGCTATCCAGCTGTCCAAAATTTAATTATGAGCAGTCTTACTGCATTAATGAAACATTGATCAATCATAGGAGAAATAATAGAATTTAAAGTAAATCAGTTGTTTGAAGTGTCATGTATTACCAATGTTACCTGTTATGATTAGACTCAGACATTTGATGTCAGCTCGAACAAGAGATGAGGAGTGAAAGTCATGCAACAAGAGAGTATGAAAGTAGAAAATAGAGTAGCAAGCAACAAATCTTTTGTCTATAAGACAAAAGATTTGTTGCTTGCTACTCTAGTCAATGATCAGTCAGTCTCTAGTCAATAATTAAAATTGTTGAGTCACAGCACAGTTACTGAACACAGAAATATTTTTGGAAAAATTAACATTTCCATTATTGTAGGCCATCTCTTGTTTTTGCATTTCCTGTTCAGGTCATCTTGTGTGGAAAATTCATTTACTCGTATATATAGCAATAGCCTAAACATAAAAAACTGTGAGGATCCAGATCAGATTTGAACCTGCATTTCTCACTTATAAGACGACGGCTGATTTTCTTGTCAACAATAATTGAACAGAAGAATTGTTTATTAATGAGCTTTAATGAATATTCTTATCATTATGGAAAACGATTTTAAGAGAGAAACTTTAAAGTTAACTATAAACATTGAAAAAGTCTAAAATGCAATTTGTAGTTAAATGTATTGTGATGATAAATCAAATCAATAAAACTAAAATATAAGAAAATGGATTCCATTTCTTGTGATAGATCCAATAAAGGAAGATTGTATGTAAATTCGTTAAAGTGTAACTATGCATAATAAAAGTTTTCATAGTCTGAATGTAGTTATATTTTTTTATGCAAAATGGAAGAAATGTTTTTATATTAAAGCTTCAATAACTGAAAAAAATCCAATGATTGTTTTGTTAGTTACATATATATGTGTATTATTTAAAATTCTCTAAATTGACTTATCTGAATAAGATAATCTTCAATCCTCCACTCTGTCTTTTATTATTGTTATGAGATTGAATGGATGGATTCCTGCTTTGAGAGAATTATGCACATGTTTTTTTTTATAATTTATTTTTTTTACAGACTTTTAAGCTATGCAATAGAATTTTGTAGTGCATTTTGTTTTCATGAATTACCAAATTTTTCCATCTTGAAAGACATTGTGACAAATATGAGGCAAATTCAAATATAAATTATAATTTGATAAAACAAAAATTGTATATTGATGTTTATTATTACCTTATTTTCAAACGTGATCTTCCTCCACTAAAATATATTAGTGTCATTGGTTGAAAGCTTCTGGATTTCCCATAAGAAATCTGTTGGCTGCAGATGTATCCACTCAAACCATTTCAGTTACTTCATTAAAGATAAACTTCTTTCCTCCTAAAAGTACTTTGGGCAGTCCAAAATAATGGAAGTTGGATGAACAGAGCAAGAGTGGGACTGTATTGAGGAGAGATAGAAGAGTCCACTTTAATTTCTGAAACATCAATTTCTGAATCGTGATGAAAGTGGCAACATGCAGATGGATGCTGTTCTGTAAGAGGCAGATGGAATGATTTTTTTCCTCTTGCTGTGGATGGCTGTTTTCATTGGTTATGAGCTTGGTAATAGTCTGCATTTTTTGTCCATTGTTTTGTGTATCCAAATCTCGTTGCTTTACCTCTAATAAAAAGTCATTGAATTTGTTCAAGAGAGGTAAGTCTGCATCCAAAAGACAACTTTCTTTGGGGAATCCAGAAGCTATCCAATTGATGACACCAATGTATTGCAAAGGAGGGAGATCACATTAAAAAATAAAGTAATAAACAAAAATCATACATTGATGTTTAATTATCAAATTATAATTTATGTTCAAACACACCTCATAGTGTTCTAATCAAGGAACTGGTGATATATTGTTAAAGAATATAATAATAATATTTTAAATACTGTATTTTCATGGAATGACTGGCATGCCGCATAAAAACAGGAGACCAGCATGCCAGAAATCTCGGCATGCTGGTTAAACTGTGACTAAAATATAAAATTAATCAGATCTAACAAAACTAGTTGTTAATTAAACATTAAAGAACATATTCTTCCAAATACAATAAAATAATAACATTGTAATTTGACTGACATTTGAATTTAAATCAGAAAGAGTGTTTTTGTTTACAAGACAATAAAACAATTAACAATTTGTTAATATTAATCGTAGTAGTAGTCAGTGTGTGCTACACTGACCATCTACAATGACCTTAAAAATAACACAACACTGTCTTCTCAAATTACACCAATCATCATGTGAAAGGTGAGATAATTTACAGTGAGTTCTTAAATTTAATGTGTTTATTTTTGCATTTTTGAATCAAATAACAATAAAATACACATAAAAAAGTACTTTCAGAATTCCACGAGTCTTTTACATCATTAGAAAGCAAAATGAAAAAATTAAACATATAATCATAGTTTTTGATGTAATGCTGAAAGTTTCACAGTTTTAGAATAAAAACTCGGTTCATTTTTTAATGCACCCTCTAGAGAGGGATGTATAACCCCACTTAAACCAGCATGCTGGCTTTTACCATATGGCTATTCCATTTAATATTTCAGGATGTGGTACTGATGAAGAAACAAAGTTTGGCATGGTAACTTGTGTATAAGGAGCATTGATGCTATTAAATTTTGGTGGTTAAAGGTCAAGGGAATGGTGAGAGAGAGGGAGATCACATGTCACATCTCAAGTGGAGTTGGACTTAATGAAGATTTTTCTTTTATAAAACTTATCTTTACCCTCAAAATTATGCTTTTCACNGGTAAGGCATGTTGTCATAAATTATTTATTGATAAATATTGTTTAAATATTTTTTTTAATTTAATATGACTCTATGTCCTTAATTTATTCAAAATATTCTTTCAATCACCAGTACAGTGTGTATTTCTATTAATAGAACTTATTAAACTGATATATAAGATTACTGCAAGTCAGTCACACAGATTAAAATTGTTTTATTTACATTTACCTTGACTGACTTGCAGTGACTTACTTGCAGTAATCTTATATATCAGTTTAATAAGTCCTATTAACAGAAATACACACTGTACTGGTGATTCAGAGAATATTTTGAATTGTTTAAATATCTTTTAATACATAGCTTATATTCTTTATAATTGTTCAAATTCTTCATAAAATTACAAATTTTAATTGAAAATTTTTAAATGATAAGAAACTATTGTGTAACATATTTGCACCTTACAGATCCAATGTCTTGGATCATGATAAAACTTTTGTTATACTCCAATATTAACATATCCATCAGACAAAAGCATTATTTACATAACCTTTTCATTTCAAAGATAGAAGGTTATAATCATTCATCTGTGGCATATATTCCAAACATAAACAATTCAACAAGTATGCTTTTTTACGTTGTGACAAAGTCGTGGTATATGTTTTATGCTATATTTTTGCCTTGAGTTTGTACTCAAAACATAAATTTTTCTCATTTTATTTGTTTTTGTTTTCTTTACTTCATTTTCATTTAAAGTTTCACTAGAAGCATGATAAGTTAATTATTTTCATAACTTATGTCTTGATCATCACACTTGATGATAATGAAATAAGTTATGAATTATAATTCTGTTAAATTTTATGACAGTATTCTTTTATGTAATACTTTTTCCTGTTTAGAAATATACAATGAAAACATTCCAAGGTTTGTTATTTTTTATTAGCTGCAATGGTTTTTTTTTCCAGATAGATCTTTTACCTGCATCTCAACTTGAATAACCTAAATGACAGCATCTCTATTCTAACACCAGAGAGAGAATTCAAAGAACTATTAGTTTTATGAGTTTATTTTTTTTATTAAAATTGCAAGAAAAGGATATAATTAATTCAAAAGTATAAGAAAGAAATTTATCAGAAAATTGTTATATTATACAAAAAATGCATAATATAACAATTTTCTATTTTTATTGTTCTTTTTCCACTTTACAATACTTTAGAAGGTACTTATCAAAAAACATGCAAAACAATGCATTGAGTGCACCTAATAAAACAATTTGTTGAAAAATTTCATTTTTGTTTTTTATTCCCACAGGAAAACAAATTTCCTTTACATCAAAAAATTTCTCTTTGTTAAATTAATTAATGAATTTTGATACATACCATGTATATGTATGTATCAAAATGTATATATGTATGTATATGTATGTATGCTAATTTTTAAAGAAATTCTGTATATGTTAGAATTTCTTTAAAAATTAGCAAAGACAGTTAGTGATGAAGTAAAAATACGTTCTCTTGTACAAGATGTACAAGAGAATGTATGGGAACTTAGAATGTTCCCATATGATGTATGGATATAAGTTCCCATGGATATGTATGGATATATATGTTCCCATATAAGAGAATGTTCTTGGGAACTTATTTCTCATTGCTGCTCTAACTAGTACATGGCATTTTGTAGATGAGAATTTAATTGTTCCATCTACCAATAAGAACAAACATCACACAGTTGACACAAAAGTGTGCACTTCTGCAGAATTACCTTTAATGTGCATGTAGGCTCATTCTTTTTATCATGGATTATTTCATCTTACAAAGTACCATTAGTTTGTCCTCACCATGAAACCAGCATTTAACAAAAATTTGTTTTCTGCAACATTGGGGTTGATGACTTTATTTTGTTGTTTCACTAAAAACAAAATATTTTAGTTACTGTATTTTAATTTAATACTGTAAGGTCTCGTTTTATGTGGTGGATACGTTCTACAGAATAGCGCATAAAAAAAAATTCGCATAAAAAAAAGACTTTACATGCCTTGAAAAAGTAGGGATATGTTCCGTAATTTTCTAAAATCGCATAAAACCAAAACAACGAATTAAAATTAACTTAAAACCGCATAAAAAAAGTTTGCAGAAATTNCAAACTTCTTTGCCAATTCACAAATTTTCATTTTTGTATCGAAGTCTTTAATAATGGGTACGTTTGTAAAGTCAAACGAGTTAAACGCATTAGTAACGAATCGTTTGAAAAGTCTAACGAAATAGGAATAATGATGACTTCATTCTCGCTTAACTCGTTCGACTTTACGAACATACCCAATATTAACTTTACATTCCAAAGATAAAGTTTTTCTTTTCTTGTTTGATGCAGAAGAATTAGTTCTACTTCATTTGGATGACATAGTAGAGTTCTCTCGAGTCTCCATAGATATAACAAACACAGAAATAAATAACACAAAATAAATTGTAGCTATGTGTGGATTCCGTGCGACACATCCGAACATATAAGCTGAACAAGTGTGGGGGGAGTGAGTAATCAAGGGTTGCGTGGTGCTCAAACAAAAGACGAATCAACGAGATTTGAAAATCGCGTAAGTCGGGGTATTACTGTATACAAAGTCTATCCCAAGCATGGCCAACATATGGCCCGTGATTAATCTTTCAATATTAGCTACTTAAGTTCAAATATCTCGACGAAGAATTCAGAGGCTTAAAAAAAAAAAAGGTCAGCAAGTAACTGTGCGATTAGAGTTAACACTCCATTACAAATGTCTTCAGCACAGCATAGAATGTTGATAATGCATGATAATGTGAAAAATGTATCTGTAATCTCTATGTACAATTTAATCTCTACGGGGTGACACAATGAGATCTCGCACCACCTCAAAATCTTGCTAGGACAGCCTCTGGTTCGGCCCGTGAAAAAGTTTTCTTTCCAATTCAGCCCAGGGGCAAAAACTGTTGGCCACTCCGGTCTATCCAGATACATGCATATTTTTATAGACAGACTTTGTCCTAACACTAAAATTAAGTTTAAAATTAATATTATGTTTAGCTTTTGTAATAAATTTTCCTTTTTTATTCTTAAGTTAATTTAATTGATTTTGCAATCATCCTCCTGAGAGGTTCATTCCTGGACTCTGAAGTCCAAGAATGGATCTCTCCTTGCACCTTGCCTTACATAACTCAGTCTTTTATAGTCTAAATCAGAGATGTCTGAAAATTCACACCTGATGGTTTGATACTGTTGGTAACATAGGGCCATGAGATGTTGTATAGGAAAATAATTCCACATGAGAGCATTCTTACCATTTTGATTTTACAGCTTGCTTCAGTTTCTGCAGAGTTATGCAGTAGTGTTTACATTAATTGTATGGCTTTTTTCAAAAGACTGTATGAGGATTGGTCCTTGTGAATCAAAATAAAATGTCAGCATAACTTTCTTCACACTGAATTGAATAAGAGACTGTAGAGCTTTATATCTACTAGAAGTGCTAATAAATGTAGATTTTCAGCTGCTCCTGGTGACAATCTTTGCAGAATTTATTGAATTGAAATTTTAAACAACAATTGAACCATAAATAATACAGATCAATCATGTGTTTTCCTTCACTATTCTATGTTTGTTTGTGTGCGTGTTTGTTTGTAAGCACACAAACAGCACAGAAACTTACATGACACAGACAGATAACTGGAAGGAATTTGATAGAATTGCACACTAAGATATAGTGTATGCAATAACAATGCAAAATATATCCAACACTATATCTCAGACTTTAAAATACAGACAGCACATTTAATTTGTAGAAAAACTTGTAATTTCTATGGTTTTTTTGAATGGCAATCACAAACCTACCCATCTCATCAAAGAAGCATCCATAAACCAGCCAAAACTGCACTAAACTGATGGCTGGAATTGTTAGGGTGCATTTCAAGCCCAAGACTGCCTGACACTGTAATTTTGTGTACTGTTTGATTCAAGTCAAACATCACAATTACTCAAAACCAACTCTTACAGACTAAAAAAGTACATCATTAAAACTACACAACACTCACACCTGAATTTAACACAGTACCCAGACCATCATAGTTCTGGGCTCTGAAGGAGTTCCATGTTAGGCACTCTAACATCTCAAACAGGATCACAATGACAGAACTGTGTCAAACTGCTGGCTGGCTCTCAGGAGAAATGGAAGGGTTCATTATTGCCCTAAAAGCAGGGCTGTGGAGCTGGAGTCGGAGTCGTCAAAAAATCCGCCAACTCCGACTCCTTTTTTACTTACCAACTTGTTATGTATATAAAATGGAAAAGTATTGGAATCGTGTCAAATTTGACTCTCCAAGTTTTTTTTGCAAATCTACACATTTGGAGACCTCCCCAAACCCCTCAAAAAAGTCAATAAAGGGGAAAACTTCGCATGTGTGTGTGTGTTGACATCTAATTTGTTTAATTTCTTTATTTTCTGTTCTGAGATATTAAACAATATCTCAGAATGGGTAAAGTTTAAGAAACGAAATGTGGCACTGTAGCTTGCATATAAAGGGGCATTAATACTATTAAATTTTGGTTCTTAATTAAAGGTCGATGGGGTGAATACATAAAAGTGGTCATGTGTCATATCTCTTAATGAATATTTTACTCGTTATTAGCGTTCAAAATTTAAAAAGAATAAAATAAAACTACCCTCAAAGTAAGCTTTTTTGCCATTTTATAATAGTACAGTAAAACCTGTTAAGATGTTCTCGCCTAAAATGTTAGAATGTATATGGGGACATGGTTTAATTCAACCACTTTGACGCTAAATAACTAACTCCTGTGTTAAACCATCTGACTCTGATTCTGACCACAGAAATTATTAGGCTTTAAACAGGGTGAACATAATTATGCCCCCCCACACACAGTCTAACATCCACACATATAGGAAAAAAACCTCAAATCTTTTGCATATCTCAAAATTTCAAGGTGTCCTGAGTTGAAAAATGTAAAAATTTGGGAGGGGTCATTTTTTGAGCGAGCGCTACACTTCTCCTGTTATATATAACAGCCAGAAAAGTAAAAATTATCGAATGCATATTTATATATTACTTAGAGAAGTCTTTAGCTTTGGAATAAATAGTTTCTATGCTCTATCTTTATTACAACTCTATTTATTGAATATTTTATTCTGAGGTCACATGATGACATCAGAATTTCTGGGTCTCTTTCGGTAACAAGTTCGCCCCTAGTTGGAGTCGGTAGATTTTTACGCAATTCCACAGCCCTGCCTAAAAGACCACATATCATAAAAACAAGGAACTACAAAAAGTACAGTTAATGACTTAAGGTATTGATTTAAGTCTGACAATGTTGTGAAGTTAAATTTGAGAATACATTACCCAGATTATATCAACTAAATTCAATTGTAAACTTAGAGGTAATTGTGTGCATATTTCTATTGCAGTTCAAAATGAAATATTTTTTTCAATTTTAATATGTTCTTCATACAGAAAAAAAACAATAAAAAATTATCAAAGTTTGAATTTTACCATGTTCCTTCTCTCAGGTGATATTTCTTGCTTTCTCTTCCAAGCACATCTTATTTCCCCAAGATTCCATGCACCAAACTAAGATCATCTAATTCATTATCACAACAACAGAAAAAACATTCAGGATTGTTATTGAGTTTACTGTAATATATTTAAGATAAAATAATTCAAGAAATTTATCAAAATTTTTATTTTATTCAATTTACTCAAAGCATATTTTTAAATTAGCAATGATATTCGATTGATATAATCTGGTTATATATTATATCAAATTTGACTGTGTGACATCATCTTACTTGACAGCAGTGCGAGGTGACAATTTGCTTTTGTCAATCACTGTACATTTTAAAATACATATTTTCAGATGACATTTGTAGAAATGCCACATCTTGTACAGTACAAGACTATGTACAACATGTTACATCAGATTGTAAACTTTTAGCACAGTCTTATGTTGTTTTTACTATTTGCTTATGTTTATCATCAAAAGCTTACACACACACACAAATTACTACACACCTCAATCATAGAAAATAACACATAGCAGACATAACTGTTCCAAACACATTATACACAAAAAATTAGTAAATACTCAGGACTTGCCCACTAAATAAAATACCTCTAGAAAATAAATGCAATACTTAGCATTCCAATAGTCCTTTTTCATATAGGTGTCAATACCGCATACACTACAGAAGACTGTCATACTAAACATATAGTCGGAATTCTTAAACAGAAGCACAGTACATAACTACCTACAAGTTATTCTGTTTGTGCTGTGTGTGTTTGTGTCTTAATCTGGTCCAACATAGTGCTAGGCACCAGTATACACTCCATCAACACCACTATAAGAATTAAGGCAAAATTATATAACATTTATCATACGCCACAGCAGTAATTTCCCACCAAGTATAAAGTTTCCTAAATATAAACAATTGAAAAGTGCAAAAATCACAAAAAAGCTGTATATTTTCTTCTCCTTTTTCTTCATCTGGCACTTCAAACTTGTAAATAAAAAAAATACTGGGTCTAGAAAGCTCAAATTTTTAACTTAAGCCTTTCTGGTTATCGGTGAAGTGCTGGCCAGGTCAATAGGTCAAAGTTTATGGGGTTTCCCATAGAGCTAATTTAGATTTACAGCTTAATTTTATGCTTGAAGGATAAAATTGCATGGAAACAAATGAATTTTATTCAAAGTGTTACTAAGAATTACAAAAGCTCAAATTTATGCGAATTAAAACTTTTTATGAAGATTTTTCTTAACAGCATATCAAAAGCATCAGTCAATGCTGACTGAAATGAATATTGAAAGTGTTCGGTTGGCAGCAACCATTCAGTTGGTGGTCGTCGAGCTCTGACCGATTTCATCAATATAATAATAATACAATTATTAAACAAAAACAATTGGTATCCACACAAAAACATATGAGATGTAAAAGAAGCAGTACCCATAAAATTTTTACCTGTATTATTATTTTATACATTTTGCTTCCAAGTGCCAAATTTATCTTTATCAAAGAAAAATGCCTAAGAAAAATTTTGTCATCTAGTGTCATAAATTTTTTACTTGGCATGTTTTTGTTTGGATATAATTTATTCTAAAGTAACATTAATTACTTTAGAAAAATCCTAAAATCAGGGAATGAGATACTGTTCATTTTGATATTTTCATATAAGGTGAAGAATTGTCAGCATCCCCATCAAAAGTTTGAGCTAATTTTATCAATAACTTAAATATTTAACTACATGCTATGAGAACCAAATAATCATGTTATTTAATTTTTCTCTAATTCTAAATTATAACTTAATGACTCATTTTTAAAAACAAATTTGTCATCAGCTACAGGTGAAAATTTGAAATGCTAACATCTGCAGAATGCTTAATAATTTAGAAATTCTAATAGCAGTTGAATATCTTGAATGCTTTTGACTTTGTTTTACTTCAATATGATTTATACTGCAAGATTCATACAATTTGCAGACAATTCAATGCAAAAATATCAAATTAAAAAACTTTAATGAATAAATTACAAAAATGTACAAAAAGTTTTTCAGCCATTGACATAATTCTTTTGCCGACAGTGTAAAAAAAATGCCAAATGGCATCAAATATTCAAACTGGTTAATAAACTATTTCTTGATTATGCTAATCCTCTTTCCTTGCCAAGTTGCAAATTTGCTATATGCAGCTCTTAACATATTTATCATATGGTCAGTCAGCTGTAAGGGAAAATAATATATATAAAACTGTCAAAATTTTTAAAGAATTAATAAAAAATATTATAATTACAGATTATTATATTAATGTTGGTTTGGGGAAAAAGAAATCCATTATTTTTACATTTATTTCAAGACTTTATTTAACATGGTTTGGATTGTCTGACTTGGGTCAAATATGCATTGTTTTGTTTTATAATTTGTTGCCATTTTAAAGGTAATTTCATAATGCCTCTCTCATAGAAGCCCTGGTCCCTATTGGTGAAAAACTCAACTAAGCGATTTTCACAAACTTCTCTTGATGCCAATTTCTGATCACTAAGGAAGTTTCGCAATGATAAAAAAAGATGGTAATTTCTTGGTGCCAGGTTCAGACTATAAGATGGATGCATCAAAACTTTTCAAACAAGCTCCCTGAGTTTCTGGTGAGTCACTATAGATGTGTGTGGCCTGGCATTGCCCTGATGAAACACAACACCTCTCCTGTTGGCCAATTCTGGCCGCTTCTGGTCAATTGCTAGCTTCAAATGGTCCAATTGTTGACAGTAGAGGTCCGAATTTAGCATTTGGCCATATGGAAGCAGCTCATAGTAGATGATTCCTTTCCAGTCCCACCAAATGCACAGCAAAACTTTCCTGGGCATTAGTCCTGGTTTGGCTGCCATTTGAGCTGCTTCACCACACTTTGACCACGATCATTTTTGTACAATATTGTTGTATGTAACTCATTTCTCATCCCCAGTCACCATCCGTTTAAGAAATGGGTTGATTTTATCCCATTTGGTCAAGACTTTGCAGATGGAAATTCGATCCATCACGTTTATTTGCGTCAATTCGTGTGGCATCCAAACACGAGCTTCTTTTTGAATCCAGCTTTATGCAGGTGGTTTAAAACTGTTTTGTGATCAATCTTTAGCTCCTGGGTGATGCTAACTGCTAACATGCAGGTCTACTTCAATTATTTCCATGATTTTATCGACATTTTTGACAATGGGCCTGCCTGTGTAAGGTGCATCTTTAACATTGAAATTACCAGAATGGAATCGACAAAACCAAAATTGCGCATAATTGGCTGTGACAGTATTGGGACCATAAACACCATTTACAATTTAAGCTGCTTGGCTTGCATTTTCACCTTTATCAAAGCAAAATTGTAAACATACCGAATTTTCTCTTTGTTAACTTCCATCTTTTACATCCTATAACTCAACTGACTCAACCAATCAAAAAACTGTAAGAAAAATTTTTTTAGTACAGAATGTCACTTTTCCAACCAGCACAAGTCTGAACTTGTTTCATCAATACTTTACAAGATATATATCACTACAGCCATCTAACAACAAAATAATGGATTTCTTTTTCCCCAACCTAATATTTAAATTGTAACAGAACTAAAGAAAATTTGTAAATATGGTATTAGTCTATGATTTGTTGCAATACAAATCTTTTCTAACTATTCATGATAAAAATGAAGTGTGTGAGAGCACCATATTATTTTTTACTTTATGCAATTAAATCTGTTTAATAATTGCAGAAGTTGTAAACTTAATGTTTCTCTTTCTAGTGTTTGATATTTTTGTAATCCTAATGCAAGAATAATAGAGTCAATGTTTAGTAAGGGGTAATTTTATATGGCTTAAATTATGTTATGAGAGATACCTGTATATATAACACAGTAGTTGCATTACAAAAAAGTGCCACATTATGCAAAACAGTTTGGTTCCAAAAGTTAACAAAAGTATACTATTCTTTTTCATTACAAGAGAAATATGTTTGTTAGTTAATTATTGATTGTTTTAGTAATCACAATTAAAAGTATTTAATACACATTAATATTAGTTAGATGAGAATGCTTTGTAAAAAAATGAAAGTTTTTGAGTTTTTTTTGTTGATCTAGATCAGAAATGTCAGCATCATTATTTTAATTTTTATCATCAAAAAATTTTATGGGTGACAAAATAAAAATATATTATTATTTGTAAATTTGTTCAGTTGAGTACCAAGTAACTTTTTTCCAGAATTTGTGTTCAAATATCAAATTGTTTGAGTTGGGAACGGTTCAAGTATATAGATACTGCTGTATTTCATTTGTCATCTTTACAAACAATTACTTACCTACAGTTACCTAAAAATGTTAAAATTTTTTTTTAAGTGTTATTAAATGACATCATCATCTGGTTGATAGTTCAATGTTTTCCTTCTTTTCCTAGCTTTCCTATCAGTTTTCATTAAAGTAAACCTGACAAAAGGCATGAAACAAATTGAAAATTTCAATATTCTAAAGTCTGGGAAAATTTGAGACAACACACATGCTTACTTGAATAAAGAAATATTGAATAACCGAGTTGTCATTTAAAAATTGTGAAATTTGGTACAGAGAATTTCCCAAATACTCAAACCGTGTTGTACAAGGGATATCTCTAATTTTTTAATTCTGCACCAGATCACTTTTCATTTCCTTTAGAAAATACTAATATGAAAAAGATCAAATTCAACAAAACAGTGAAAAAATTTCTCAATTCAAATAATTGATCATAAAATAGGACTTGCAGATTTATTTTGTTAAGTTTAAAGTCAGGAAAAGCTCCTCTCCCAAAGTTTGTACTTATACAAATAAATAGGAACTAAAGTCACACCTCTGATAATTTGGCATAATACAAATTTGCTGGTTGATGACAGCAGTATATAATAGTTTTGTGAAAAAATGCCTTTCTTGTTTTTTCACAGAAAAACAAAACCACATAATCATTTTTGTTTGCTACAGTAAAGCACTTTAAGAAAATATTTTTATGCAATATCAGGCTAGTGTGTATAATCATAATATTGTTATTGTAATATTGTATAATATAATTAAAGTTCAATTCAATAAAGTTAACAATTTAAAGAATTTATCAGAGTAGTCTCTATTAAAATTCAAATTAAACTTGATTTTTTAGCTAGGTTTTTCCCTGCAAGGAAATGAGTAAAAAATATGAAAAGTATTACGTGAGTACATATGAACAATAACTACTTTTACAAGAATTCTATCATTGTCCAGGTTATCTCATTTTCAAGCTATCAAATAACATTCATTTTGCAAATAGTAGAACAGTTAAACTCAATAAAAACATAAAAAAATCATTAAAACATATAGACAGAGTCTTTTAAGCTTGCAAAACCTCATAGAATGGTTTTGCAAGCTTAAAAGTTTAATTGCTGAAAAACTGGACTTAAAAGGTTTGAAGCTTTCAAATGAACAGCTTAAGAAGTTTAAGAACTGCCACCAGTTCAAGCAAATTAAACTGCATAGAAAAGCATCTTCAACTTCTGCTATTGATCACCACATGCTGAAGCTCAGCAACTCATTTTGAAAATTACTACAAATTTTCAAAATCAGTTGCTGCGCTTCAGTATGTGGTGATCAATAGAAGTCTGAACATGTGTATAATATAAAATAATCCAGTTTCTTCAAAAAACTTGAATACAACAGAACACTAGTAATTAAGCCTTTAAAAGCACTGAAGCAGAATAAAGATTGAATATGTGAATTTTCTCAATATTACAGCAAAGTATTGTGAATTCTTGAATTTATTACTAATTAATTGAATACCTTTGTCAGTGCCTGTTATATTTGAACAGAAAGCAATAATTATGCATTCACTACAAATATAATCCAAGCTTTTTTTTTATTCTTTGTGAAATTTTTTGTGACTGGATAATGCATATTGACAAGACGATAGACTGGATAATGCAACTTTTCATAACAGTAATGATTTGAAATTGGCAAATACAAAAGCTACTTTTCATTTCTCCTAATATTTCAAACAGGAGTAGTTGACTGCACTGAAAATGTAATCACAAAGTTTGTTCAAGTCAATGCTTAATAAACCGAAAGTGATTCTTTGGATTCTGGAGGTGTTAATCCCAGAATTAGTCTTCTGGATACTGTTTTGCTACATGGTTGAAACTTGGAATGAAATTTGTCCTACCTCCTTCTGGAAACATACAAATTTAATTGCAGATGAAACTCAATTATTCACTGATAAACTTCAAAGTAACATTAATGTTCATAGCTTTATTGATTGTCATCAGATGCAAATAATTTAAACTTTCAGAGATGAAAAAAAATCACAGATAATACAAATTCTGAAACTGTGATATGGAACTTGACCTAACTTAGAATGAAAATTGATCAGCACTGCACCCATGAAGAAAGAATTACTCATAGGAAAGCCAACGCACTGTAAATTGTCTCATTAAATACTTCTGCTAGCAAAACAGTTGTTCAACTTCAACATTTTATAATTGAATTTGAAAGTAATTGAAAAATAAGAGCTGTTCAGTCAAATTATCAAAATTGGATTCTTGCATAATTTGTAATTTCATGATATAGAAAATTTTGTTACTAATTTTAACAATATTACATAATCAGTTATTTCTAGGGTGAAAAATAATGTTATCATATGCAATTTGAAAAATAAAAAAATTTTTAGGTGATTTCATTTGTCTTTTTTGAACTTCAAATAATTGAATATTTAATCAAGAATCTTTTCATGTATAGAATAATATAATGCAATTTTCCATGCATTTATTATACTATACAGTAGACCCCCCTATAAAACGGGTTCATATAATTTGAATTCGTATATAACGGCAAAAAATTTGCGACTGTATTCGTATAAACACGCTAAAAGAGACTCCTATATAATGGTAAAACGTCATCGCTGACTCGTGTCGTGACAGGATTGGTCGAACTAGACCAATAGCGGATATTGCACAAACTGTTGAGTTTAAACGAGCAGTGAATCTACTAAAAACCATTTATTATTTAACATCCATAAAAATTATATTTATATTAATGATGTCTCCAAAGTTCAGTGAATTTTTCACAGAAAAATAATTTATCAGGAAACACGTGCACCCCCATTTGATGCGCAACCATTAACCCCGTTCAGGTTAATGGTTGGACCACTAGAAGGTTTTGCTGATGGTTGGGCAAAAGCATTCTTATGTGAAGTATATCA